TGGTAATTTTTGTAGTCCTAGAAGATTCTCCAACAGAGCGAAGAATTATACAATCCTACTAGCAATAATAAAAAAAAAAAAGATTCAAAATGTTGTCTTCTGCTAAACTCAGAGGCTGGGGCTGAAGAGAGGGGACTGATTATGCCAGGCTGAGAAGTTGGACTCATAACTCCCTATCCAGTTTTTCATGCAGCCCTCCAGGCAGGAAGTAGAGCTGGAAAGTAAGTCTCTTTACTTACTCATTGGTGGTAGTCCTGGGGGTCGTCCACCCCACGAAGCAAATTTGACAACTGAATGTGAAACCGAACCACTGGCTGGAGTTTCCTCGTGTTGTCGCTACGCCTTCCATCCCCACCAGTCACCAGTGCACGAGTGGAGATTACTGTGTGAGTGGCTTCTGGAATATACCCTGATCTGGTGCCTAGGAAGTACATTCAGACCTGAATTTTAATAGGCAAGCAGAGAGTTTACCTCATGGCTGACATGAAACATTGAAAGAAACACATTTTTCAGACAACCACATTCTTATCTTGGCTCTAGCAGTAAGCATGTAGCCTCAGACAAGTCATTTCCCTTCATTAAGTCCTGGTTTAAGTTCCTTGTCTTTAAAATGAGAAGGTTAAATTTATCTTAGTTCTAAGGCTCCTTTTAATTCAATGATTCTCTAAATTTAAATGCATTATTCATATTTCCTGAAGCCTGGATGCAGTCTGATTCACAACAACCACGTCTACTTTATCCTAAATGAGAACAGCAGTCCACAATGTAATAGAACAAAACCCCATTATAATAAGTGAGAAATCATATATTATAGACCCTTCTGTCTAAACAACTCAATAACTTTCTATAAAAACCAATGAAATTCAAATAGGAACTAGGGGACAACAAGTTACATGTGACAGTAGGGGTTGTATTCCTTTTACATTGCTGAGAAAACTGGCTAAATGAAGATTGGATTCTTGCTGTTACGAAACAATTTAGTTTAATGGGATTTGTACAACTGATTAAACAGAAATGCTACAAAATGCCCCAAAGCATGTA